TGCTGTGAGGGCCTGGCTGCACTGTGCAGTCTGCGCTCAGCAGGCTGCGTCCGGCATGCAGCACTCTGCTCAGAGAGACACACAGCCCCCCCTCAATCCTGCCATAATCAACTCAGGGAAACTTCAACCCAGGAGATCGCTCTAGACTTACAGCAGAGCTAGAATGCAAGTGCCTCAGTGTTCCCAGAGGCCATTTGTCAGCCTGCACAATAACACCAGTGAGCAAGTCTTCTGAGTCCATTAAACCTGGCTGTAAGCAGTGGATACACACAGCAGATCAGTGGATGTTAGCATGCCCATGGCAGGTATCCAATACTTGTGCAGAGTTGAGAGGACACCACAAAATCAGCTTACATTCAGCTTTTGAATTCACAAATGATTTTTATAATTACAACCAATTCCAGCATAATCCCATGCCTGAAACCATTGCATTCTGCGGTACCTGAAGCAGTGCAAACAAATTTCTACTCCTGGCCTGAGGCCTCCTCCATCACATGCTGGTGGGATGAGCAGGACTCAGGGTCTGCTGCTGCAGGACATTGCCTTCAGCCACAGGTGGGGACTAATAAACCAATCAGATAGCTCAGTAAAAGCAGGTACCATTTAAAGGTAGCATACCATGCTACCATTCTGGATGTTCAATGTGCATTTATTAGGGCTGAATAAGGAGTAGTTAGATAGCTTTTGTGCTTTAAACCTTGTACAGAATACACTTCATAATTTGACTTCTTTCTCTTTTTTTTCTAGAAATTGAACATGTGATTACTAAAAAAACTGTGCTTACAACAAAGTTTTAGGAAAGCAGAATATTTGAAAAAGAGGTGTATGTTTTCTTTATTAATATGGTTTGATTTATCAATTTGTAAACTCACTGCTTCCGCATGAACTTACAAAGCAGATAAATTACTTTAGAATTAAGTTGACAGTGCATGAGGATGAATTGCTGACACTCTTTCTGGCTGCTGACAGTAATTTCCTACGGGATGGTCTCCTGGCTGAGCAGCTAATAAACAAGACTCAGAGCAGCAGAGACAGAAATGAAGATAAACAAATGAGAATTAAATCAGCTACAATAATAATAATCTTAATGCTGATTTTGTCTCCTTCTGGTCTAAAACAAATATGTTTGTTTTCTAGACTGGTGTTTATTTTATTACCTGTATTTTTCAAATAGCTTGTCTATGGGAAAACAGTGTGTCTACTCACTAAGAGTCACAGTTATTCCACCTTGAGAAAAATAAAATGATGCTTTTAAAATCATCATAAAACTCTTCAATTTACTTAAAGTAAAAGATGCAAAAATGGAATTGAAATGCTCTGCTTTGCATACCATATAAGAATAGCTTTACTACATTTTTCCACAGCTCCTTACAGTGCTAATTTTTTAAAAATCTTATCACTACTTTCATTATTTGCCAGAACCCATTACTGTATTGAGCTGTTTGCAACTGCTGTGTCATGTACCTCAGAGACCAACTAATGCACAGGCAGTGACAAAAGAAGGATTACAGCAGTGACGTTCAGGTAGACAGTGTGGACAACAGGCAGTCATTGCCAGCATGAAGAGGCCACAACAGACTGCTGTCACAACTCACCACTGAACGGGTACTTCTCTGCATGAAAGGTGGGGACATAAAACAGGTTAAAAAAAAGGGCATATCCCAATCCTGCTTTGCAGGATGTTCCTTCCTGCTATAGTGATGTACATCCTCATGTATCTTGTGTAAACAGTTGCTGAACATGCAAACCAGGAAGTGAATGTTAGAAATCATTGCATTATTGAATAAGGAATCAAATCTAATTTAATTAAGAGATAAATATACCCTTAATAGTAAACAAATGTTGTCAGGTGACATCAGTGGTACTTGCACACTTTTTCCATCTTCAGAGTGCTTTAAAAACATTCTCATTTGTGCTCTATGTCTCTTTGAAAAACAAGGCTTTCTTCACCTAGGAAAGGAAACTGAATTCCAAGGACTTGACCAAAGAACACAGAAAGTCAGTATGCTCAAAATGTATGCTATCAATAACATCATTACATCGCTCTCTCAAAGGTTATGGTTTTGCAGTTAGGTTGCAGGAATTTAATGGACAGAGAGCTGAAAATTATGACCCAGCTGGATGACCCCTCCAGCTTCAGTCTCATTCTGCACTCTACATGAAGAATGGGGAAACGTTCTTGGAGGTTCAGGTAGTTACTATGAACTGTTCTGACTATAAGTGACACGTTTCCAAAGAAATAAGTTTAAGATGATCCAGATACTAACAGCATGCATAGATCTGTCTTCTCATGACATTACCATCACAAAGTCTTTAGACAACCTCAGACTTGCAACAAAAATTAGTGTTTGTGTTGCCATTTTAAGATTTTTTACTTTAGTAAAGTAGACTTACTTTAGTAAGTCTAAAGATTGCAAAGAAAGTATTGGAGAAGGAGGGGCTTGGCACTAGATGATCTTTAAGGTCCCTTCCAACCTAAGCCATTCTATGATTCATTAAGGCAATGTGGAGCTTAGATGAACTTCTAAAGAATTCCACAATAACTGCATTATTTGTCGGAGAAGATATGGGAACTCAAAAAATCCCAGCTCGGGAATTTCCCGTTATCTTGGAAACCTACACATTTTAGGCATATTGTTCCCTATTGCTGCATTTTGTGCAAGCATCAATATCAGTGAAGTAAAGGCTGGTAGCAATCCCACCGCTCACTTTGAATTGAACAACTGCACAAGAGACACAGGAAATCACCCCTTGATTTCTGAAGAGTTAAATTGCAGCTGCCAAACCCTGTCAAGATCCACTTGGAGTAAGATCTGGTGTCTAATGCATTTCTGCTGGTGGTTATTCTTTCTTAAACTTTCTTTTCCCCCAGGAAAGGCATATCTGCATTCCAGCTGCTAATGAAAAAAGGGACAATTTTGAAATGTTTAGTCACTTTTACATTGTGATTTTTACTAATGTCATGTAGGAGTGACAGAATTCTTCAGTTAACATAACTGAAAAAAGAAGGGGAGGAGAAGGTGGAGAAAGTCTACATAAAATGGATTTATATTGCTTTTACAACTGAATTGTTTTCAGTATAATGTCACGTTCTTAGTGTGGGGGATTTTGCATGTGTCATGAGTCTACAGATGTTCTTGCACACTGTGTGCAGCTGCACTATTTGTCACGGGCAAATTTAATAGCAAGATGCTTGCTACATGTTCCCTCTATTCTTAGTCCACAAAAACCACAGAGGGAAAAAACAGTGCCTGCTAGTTTGCTTGCTTCTCTTCTTTACACAGTCTTTTCAAATATTTCAGAAACAAATTTGGAAACACCATCTTTCACACTAAATTCCATGACACCTGCAATTGCAGCTCCACTGCCTTTGCTAGAATGATTTTTAGACTGATTTCTTTGTAATGTTTCTAATGCTAATGCATTTTAAGCTCCTGAATTGGAATGGGGGAGATGTGAGGAAGAGTTTTTCATTATAGTGTGGGGTTCTTCAAGAGTCAAATCCTGCAAAAGGGAGAATACTTTCTGCCAAATATGACTATCCTCTGTTCTCACTGACTGCAGGGGAAACTCAGGCGCCCTCCGTGTCCACACTCTGCAGAGCCAAATGCTGCCAGACTTGTGCAAACTCAGATGAGCTCTGCTGCTCTTCTAATCTTCAAATCTGCTTTGGAAATGTTCTCTTTTCTAAACTTGCCTGGTCTAAAGCCAGTGATGAGCATACCCTTGGGATCCAGCTTCTTTAAAAACTATTCAGGCAGCAAAGCAACCTTTTCTAAAATTAAAAGAAAACAAAGTCTAAATTCTTCTCTTGCCTAGACTATAATGTGCTGGTTAGAAGCAAGAGAAGAAAATGTAGAAAAGGCAGTGCAAGCAGAAATTTGGACTTCGCAGCAGAAGGGAAACTTAAAGCTGAAACAGGAGCACATCCAACCGAACTGGCACAGCATAACACTTGAGAAGAGGGTACAGCTGCAGAACAAGTTAAAAGCATTCCACTGTCAAGAAGTATGTGAGCAAAAGTAGAAGCCATAAATGAAAATTACGAATTTAATTATGGTATCTCCTACAGTAGAAGACAGACACTGCCATACGGCGCTAGAGTAGCACAGGCTGCGGCAGGCAGCACGCCAGGAGAGGCCGAGGGAGCTGCAATTCCTCAGTCCTGAAAAGGCCGAGGGGATGGCAGGGATTTATTGCTGCCTAAAAATACATCATGGGAAGCTATAGAGAAGTCAGAGCCAAATTTTTCTCAGAGGTGCACAAGGGCATGTATTTAAAGAACATAAAAGCAAAGATGGTTCAACAAGGTATAAACATTTTTGTGATGGAAAAATCAGAGTTCTTAAATAAATTTGTGTGGTACTGTATTGGATATCTTTTAAAACATCCTGAACTTAGCACATGCTGGAAACACTACATATATGTAAGATGCATAATCACATACCAAGTTGCTAGAAAAGTTCTTTTTGTTACCAAGAAGGTGATCACATAATTTTGGAGATATATACAATGAGTGTTTCTTGTAATAAAAATGTGCATTTATGAACACAGACTACCACAGAAAATGGAATATTCCAGTGAGACTTTCAGAAGAATGCCAGAAAAAAATATTGAAATATGCAATATATATGTGAAGACATTAGTTTCCAGTCTTCACATGATTGCTTAGCTCGAAAGTTAACTATATATGATCATGGCACTTCTCCTTCTGTTTCTAAGCAGTCTATAATCATATGTGTGGGAACTAGCTGTGTTTGTATGCATTCCCAATTCCAGAGATTGTGGACTACCTCACAAACATTCCTCTGTGTGTGTGAGAGGTTTCTATCTTAGATTGAAGTGTATGATTTTAATTATCCTATACCCTCGCAGATTACACTATGGTCTCTCCCTATCCCTGGAGGCATTCAAGTCCAGCTGGATGTGGCTCTGGGCAGCCTGGTCTAGTGGTTGGTGACCTTGCACATAGCAGGGAGGTTGAAACTAGATGATCATTATGGTCCTTTTCAACCCAGGCCAATCTACGATTCTATGATCCTCTGTAGCAGAAATGCTAAGTGAGGGCTTGAGCCAAAGATTGAGTACCTGGTGGGAAAGCAGGGCCAACCCTGTTTTATGATGACATGATGGTACAGGGCCTCGGCAATTCTGTCTTGGCCTAAGTAGATTTTAAATTCTTTTGGCTGCATGTAGCTGTGAGGTACACGCAATTCGATTTGTTTTAATTTAACTTTAGTTTATAATACAAACAAGTGGTTTTTCCTTGTGGATTAAATTGCCTACGGCTCTACAGTAAGTCATGGAAACAAGAGTGCAAACACAGAGGATGCAGATCATAGTCATTCAGTCACGGTGAGCTTCTAGTGTTAGAAAACATATAAAATAAAATTCAAGAATACACCAGACTGAGGAAAAAAGCCATCCCCCCAACCCCTGAATATCATGCTAGTCCTGGTGATGACTTACCATACTCCCCCATTCCTTTTGAGAAATACTAAAATGTCAATCTTAAGACCCAAAGGCACACTGGAGGAGTAAGCACAACACAAGAGAACAGGGAAATTTTGTCTAACAGTTTCAACTCTATTTCATGACATCTTCCTGTATGAATTTGGTAATTTTTACTATTGGACTGTTGAAAACCTTAGACTAACAATAAATTAATAGGTCCATATATACAGTATGTTCCCCTTTGCCAACAGGAAGGCATTGAGTATAGTATCTGAAATAGACTCGAGGTGTTAAGAGGAGGAGTTAGAAGGCAAAACAAGCACAGTAAGACACCAAGGGTGAAGGACCTGACCACTACCTAACACCACTGTGCACCACTGTTTGAAAGATAACAGCATGCCTTCACAGACCAGTACAGCAAGGATCTGCACAGGCTCCATTTATGGCTCCTTGCTGTACCTTGAAATGTTTACACAGCTGATTGCCTCTGCTTGGCCTCTGGAAACCTCCTCAGGCAATGGATGTTGGTCTGAAATGCTTCCTGCAAACAGAACTTGCTCTCAGTCATTCCAGGCTGTGTTCTCACTGAGGACACAAAAGCAGGATTTCTCAGAAGCTGCTGTTGCTGGGGGCACCTCTGCAGGAACAGCTGATTTTCTCACCATCCACAGCTCAAACACTGGCAACTACTTCTGCTTTCAAAGAAGCTCTTCATACTCCAAGTGCTGCCGCCGCATGTACATATTCCTTCTAGAGCAAGCTGAATGGGAAAAATATTCTACAATGATCTCTGATTTAGCTTAAAGTGCCTTCTTTTCCTTCATTGCATTTTGTCTGTGAGAAGTGCGCTGAGTCTTCTGCAGCTGTGTTCTTGCTCTTATTTGGCACAGACCTCTGAGTTTTGCATCCATACCAAGAGTTTCCATCTTCCTTTTGAAAGGAGTGACAAACGGGTACAGAGCAGGGGAGCTCAAAGCCTGCAGGGATGTGAGTCAGGACAAGGAGAAAAATATTAAGCCAATGAAAAAAGCTGCCTTGGTGCCCAGTGCATGTGCTGAGAGCTGGAAAGTGAAAACCCAAATGGAGAAGAGAAATAGAGGACAAAAATTCAGATTCAACTGCTGCCCTTTTTTGTTTTCAGAGCACAAAGTATCAGCTATTCCAAGCCATAAATCAGCTGACCAGTGAATGCCTGCCCACTCTCCTTATAGTCGCCTACAAGTCACCTACAAATGTGCACAGGAGGACATGCATGAGGGCTGCCTCAGGAAGTGCTGAGCCCTTCTGCTCCTGCTCAGACCGGGATGCTCAGCGTAATCAGCACCACACCTGATTGCATCTTGGTCTTATTTAGCGTATTTCTGACAGCCATTTCCAACTTAGGAAAAACACATTACATTTTTTTATGTAGAAATTAACTGGGGTTAAACCAATTTCCATTGTCAGACGTGCCATTCTTTAGAATAGATCTAGTGTTAAATCATGGATGTCTATGGGGAGTTCCCTTGGATTATTTGATCAAATTATGTACTTTAAAGTATGCTTCAAAAATGTCATCCCAGCGTAGGAGGAAAAGAAAGAAAATAAGGCAAAGAAGTGAAGGGAAATTTGGAGAAATGAAATGTTGTCTTTTGTATTTTGACAGTGTAGACATCAGTAGGTTTGCCAGACAGATCTGCTCCAGACTTCAGATACATCTTGAGGAATGCATGACTAGCACAAAAAAATCTAGTCTGAAACACAAGCTACTTGCTAGCCATTTTCTTGACTCTGTCCTCTTAAACCATTTTTCTGCGTTTATTTACACTGTAACAGTCCATACTTCTCCCATGCTTGAGGTCCTCCCCTAGTCCCTGGGGAGCAAGCTGGGATCTGACAACAAGTTCTGGTGATGAAAGCACTTTAAGTAACATGGTGGGTAGGCAGCACCAGGAAAGGAGAAGAAGATAAGTAGATGAAAAAAAATGAGAAACATAAAATGATGGAGTATAGAAATCAAGAGAAAATACCACTGAAATGGTGAAAGAGCTGAGACAACGAACATAGTGGTTAATCATTACCTTGCTTTGCAAACATTGCATTGTAGCTGCTTTTCCTTCACCGATGTCTGCTACTGCACCCCGTTACCTTCACCAGTAATAAACCAGGCATAACTGAGCGTAACGGAGGGATCCACAGCTTCTTTGGCACCTGCAGGGAGTTAGGAAGAAAAGAAGTTTTCACTGTTTCTTTGGATCTCCAACTGAATTTGCAGGACTAGAAGGTGTTGGGGGAGGAGGTTAATGTTGGGCTTTAAGTTGGAGAATACAGTAAATTTGACTATGAAGCACAAGATGCATTATACTTTAATACTGACTATCTAGCCTTACACAGCACACTTGATTTTGCATTATTTTGATGATATATTACAACACCAAGTAATAGAGACTGGTTTACTGAATTTAGTTTGGAGTATCTAAACATCCTTCCTCTCATTAGATTTTCTTTCTGAACCCAGCACCTAAATATCCTTTGGTCATGTTCCACACCTTGTCCATACGCTCCTCTATCAGGGAGCGGAATAATACCAGGCAATTAAGGCACTTGCTCATATCCATTTTATCTGCAGATCTTGGAGGTGCAAACAAAACATGCTGGATGGGGAAGACTTGCTCATGCTGTTAGTGCTTTAGATCACTTGATAATCTTTTTCCTGTGTTAGTTATTACTGAATGAGAATAAGATACATGTGTGCTAGGGCTTGGAACAGATGGCACTTCTGTAAGGAAGGAACAGGGGCAAAGGGGCAGCAAAGTTGAACCTCCCCCCTTCCCCATCTTACCAGGATTCATTGTGTTGCCCTCCTGTTACAGTTGGCTGTGACTCTTTCTTGTTATAAAGAGATGTCAGAAGTTAGGGAGAGACAGATGATAACCTTAAATCCTTTGCTGCATTTTACCAGGAATCCTAAAAAAAAAATAAAATAAAAGCCAGCTAAGGGAGTTGGAAAATGTCAGTTAAGCATTACACAAAGAATGTGAAGCATTTGTCGACCTTTCCTTTTCCTCCACCCTTCTCCTCTAAGATGGATTTAGTAGTAGTGTGTGCTCTTCTGCTATGAGTGCTTTCTTAAAAATAATTTAGATGCTATTGTCTATCTGCCACTTGGAAAACATCACTGTTTCAATGAGACCCTGCTGCAACTGAAAAAGGAGGGGTTATTGAAATGCCTCCAAAAATGCAACAAAATTTCATTCTTTTCCTTGTCCTCTGAAATGCGATGTGTTCTTGCCTTTATAGTCTTCTATTTTTATTTTTTTTTAATTGTACTTTTGTATTCAGGGTCTTTTCATTCCTATCCTCCATTTTACAAAGAGTATGTGCATGGTATTAAGAGCTGAAGGCAGAGATGAGAGGAGAAATGTTTTGAACTGACTAATTTGCAGGCAAGAAATCAAGCTCTTGTAAGGTGGTCCCAGGGGTATCTTCGCCATGAACACTATTTGAAATGACATGTAATCTCGTGCATTTCAAAGGCAAAACATTTCCTATTCTAAAGTATCTTCATGAGCCAGGGTTGGTTTACCTGTTCCCAGAGAATAATAAATCACCAGAGACAAGGAAACTCCTTTTCTCCCCTCTCAATATTCCTGTTCTTTTTCAAAGGGGCAATTGCAGTCAATAGTTTATTTCTCTCCTATCTTTTGCTGCTCTGATGGCTTATAACTCTGTGGTCGCTTCCAGTATATAGCTGAATGCACTTTTGGATTAAATATCAACTAACAGTACAACCCTCTACAACACAGCAAATAATGGTGCAGAGCTCCCTTTTTGTTTTCTACAACAATGGAAAATTTACATCTGGCTGTTACAGTCTTCTAAATTTTTAAGTTTTTCACCACGTATCTTTGACCTGAAAATTTCTTAATAGGAACTACTCTGCATCTAGAGAAATTTGAGTTCAGTTAACCTTGGAATACTGCGTTAATATCCTTTTCGAATACAATTTACTGGTTCCTGTCTTGTTGGCATAGTAAAAGCTTATACACAAAAATGTACACTTAATTTGTGAAAATAGATATTTCAAGAAGACCCTCACATTCAGAATTTCTCCCTATGTTGGTGGAGGTTCAATTAATTGGTCTTTGCACATTGATGATCTGGGAATTAAAAAAGGACATCAGCTACAACTAAAATCCAAAGCTTTGGCAAAAATAAACACAGATAAGTAAAGTATTAAATTTATTTCCATTAATTTCATGGCTATTCTGTCCTAATGCATTTAGTTAGAAAAAAAAAAGAAGTGAATGTTTAATAAACTCTCTAAATTGACGTTGACCACTATTTCATCAGCTAGCTGATTTTCTCACTCTGCATGGAGAGAAATTAGTGTGCAGCATGCCTTCAGCCACTGAGCCATCACTATAATGAAGATTCTACACAGCGTTTTTAAAAAAATCAGGACCTGTGCTTATACTCATCTTCAGAATCCATATGCTCATACTGAAATGTGCTGGCTCTATGTATTAATTCTTCAACTGCAGATAACAAGGAATAAATGTTGTGACTCGGACAGACATACTGAAGGCTCCTAGAAAGAAGCACCAGGAGCACTGTGGTTACAATATGTCCTGAAAAGAGAAATTTCTGGAAGAATGAAAAGCAGAAAGTTCATTCCTGTACCTGACAATGACATGAGACAGCCGAAGGGCTGGCACGGCTGGGGCTGCCAGCTCACCAAGTGTTAGTCAGTCATGATAAAATATCATGCCCCAGAGGTAGGTCTTACACCTTACCTGTTGCTTTCCCTGAGGCTCTGTCAACTGTATTTCTTAATTTATGAGGTTTTTGTCCAAATGTAGTTTGGAGCATATTGCACAAAGAGAGATAAGGCAGCATCGGCAAAAACTTTCCAAGAGGGCAGTGATGCTCCCTGGCAATGCATCTCCTGATCTGGTCCCCGTGTCGACTATGAACCATGATATCAGACCCTATTCCTAACAATCATAAGAAAACACAGCTTTACCCATTAGAGAAATTTCTACCAAATTACATAGTAGCGCTTAGTACTTCTGGTCTTTATTCTAACTACCACAAGCAGAGAAATGAGAGAGGCCTTTCCATTACCACTGAGTGCTGTCACATGTTAATGCACAGACGGTGTTACAGCTGGAACGCACACTATCTGATGAAAGTTGCAGTGCTTGACTCCGACAGCTGCTGGGGAGAATGCTGCCTGCTTTCTGAAACAAGAGGTAGCTGTCTGCTCTTCTCCATTTTGCTAGAGCAAGCTATCCACCTTGCATAAGTGCGCTCGAGCAACAGATTTGACCCTACTGCTAGACAAGCTGAGAACCTGCTACACCTCCTTGTAGCAAACCACCTCTTTGTGTCAGCCTAAGGACTTTGTTTACTCCCTGCATGCTCTGTAACCTCAGCGAGACACTGATCTCATTTTCTCTTCAGATTAATCAGCCGTACATTTACAGCATATGCATTTCTGCATGCATTGAAATATTTATCTAGGCTATAGGTAGGGACACGTTAGCAAGAATCAATTGCTCCACTTTTGGATTGCTCTTCAGATACAGCAGCATTTTGCTGATACAGAACACCCAGCCAGAAAGGGATTCAATGTCCTAGCTCTGCTGGTTTATTGAAACTATGTTTTTGAGGGTTTTTGTTTTTTTTTTTTAAACTTTAGTGTCTCACGTGCTGCATACCACTTACACACGGCGTGTAGAATACGTGCTTGTTGGAACACTTCATTATCTGGCTGGAAGTAGTACAGTATATTGTTCTGTTTAGGGAACAAGTTTGAATTTACCATCGACTGGGGAGAAGTTCACAATGTATCGTTGGGTCAAGGACAGGAAGCAGCAGCAGAAATAGCTATGGAAAAAGCATCAAAAGAAGGCCACTGGGTTATACTTCAAGTAAGTCAAAGCTCTTCATTACATCAGTGCTGCATTGCAGTGTTAAAAACCGAAGCTTTTCAAAATAATATGTGCCTAGATGAAAGAGTCCTAAATAGCGATTTAAAACTTCTTTTGTCTTCTCCACAAGAGAAGCACATAACTTCATAGTGAGGGCTGTTTATGTGAGGAGCACCGCATCTCACATAAAATATGAATTGCAGCTATCTTCTGCACAGGGACTCCGCTAACGTATTTTCCCAAGCAGATGATATTTGATTTACTAATTTATTACCCATTAAAAAAAATCCTTCAGTAAATAAATGTGTAACAAAAAGAATTGTTACGCTGTATAATCAGATGAGTAGATACAAACAGGGAAGATTGCTGTCATTATGCAGTATATTGTGCTAAACAGATGCACATGATTTTTTTCAAATTTTGTGCAATATCAAACCGCTTCCTTATGGCTGGGTTTTCTTGTATCAATAAAATGTTCCGTATTTCAAATCAATAGCTCACTGGGAAGCCCATTTTTTCCTCCCTTCTCCCCTTCCTCCCTCCCTATCTCTGAATATTTATTTTGCAGCAAAGCGGTTTGGCACATTACAGAAATTACTGCAGGAGCCCACTGAAAGAAGGCACCGTGTGATCAGTCCAAGTGCAGGGAGCTGCCCCTTCTCCTGAACAACATCTCGCTCTGGAGGGCATTCTGCAGCCCTAGCTGAGAAACTGCTGCCTGAAGTGCTGCCTGACCACCGTGCTGCAGTGGATCTTTGGCCAGTAACACAGCAGAGGAATAAAACTTGAAAAAAACGTGATTATTAAAACTTCTCACCGCAAAGCCACTCAAAACAGTGAAGCCAGCAGCAGGATGACAAAGCAGAATGCATTCCATTTCCTAAAGGTCTGCATGTCCTAGAGTGAAAGAAAAAAAAAAACACAACAAAACAAACAACAACAACAAAAAACAAACAAACAAAAAAACACCGAGAAAATAGTTCTTTTAGTTCTAAAGCCCAAAGACAGCTTCTGGTTAAAAGCAGGTTTCTGTGCACAGGAAACAAAGAATTTACAGTCATCGCAGATAATTACTATAGTACAGAATAAGGCTTTATTTGGGGTTAGCCTGGTTTTAATTGGATCTTTCCTGCAATGCAAGACTGTGCTGCTGTGCCCCTGGAATGCTCACACGGTCTGAGGGTGCCCTGGCAGGGACCCAGTGGGGGAACCATGGGGTCACGGTGCTCAATTCACTGTGCGAGGGGCTGGTCCCAAATATCTGGATCATCTCACCGAGGGAGGAATGCACTGCCTGCTGTGCTTTTACATCTTCCTCTGTCCTCTTTAACCTTTGTTTTGGAAGGCTTTTAATAAAAACCATTTTTGTTACTGAGCCTTAAAGATACACATACGCATGGGTGGAGGAAGCGGTGATGACAGGTGAGGTCACAGCGAAGACGAAAGAACAGGGGCTCTTTAGAGCACGTATCTGTGCTGCACCGACCGGAATGTTAAGAAACTCACCAATTACCAAAAAAGAAATTGTTTTTCGCTTGCCATTTCAACACCACGTTCGGAAAAGCTCTGCCAAAATTAGGAAGGCTTTTCCTCTTCAATAGAATAAATTCTCTAAGCGACGCACACAGGACAGAACAGCCCGCCGATCGCGCTCAGCGAGGACGGCGTCGGGACGCGCTGCTAAGCGCACAAAGAAACCCGCCGGCTGCGAGCACGGGCACGGCACCTTTGTCACCAACTTCTGCCGGCCGCTCCCTCAGCCCAGTTCCGCACCACCGTACCGCCGGGGCAGCCGCGCCTCCCGCCCCGTCCCGTCCCCGTCCGCCGGAGGGGGGCACGGCCGCCCCAGGCCCGTGGCGGACGCGGCCCGAGCGGCGGCGGCAGCGCGTTCCCGGAGCCAGAGCGCCCCCTGCCGGCGTCACGGGCCGAGGCGGGCGCCGCCCGGCCTGGGCAGCGAGCCGGCCCGAGGGCGGCTGGGCTGTCCCGCGGGGGAGCACGGCGGGGAGCCCCGGGAGCTCCGCAGGAGCCCTGCTCGTCCCGGCCAGCGCCGCCCACTACCCGAGTGCCGCAGGGAAACCTTCAAGCGGGGCCTTTGCTCGCCCCTCCTGGTCTGGCAGCAGTGGGATCCCTGGTTGTTCCCCCAGTGCTGGGACACGTTGTTGGAGCAATGCCAGCAAACGCCATTTTCTCCCAACCGGCACTTCTCGTCCAAAAGACACAGGTGTGGCGCGGGCAAGAACCAGCCCAGAGAAGCCACGGATTCGTGGGGCCAGAGGTGGCCGCAGCAGCCCGTGTCCGTGCCTGGAGCCGGGCTGTGTGCCTGCAGAACACAGCGGGGCATCGAGCAGCCCGTGCTCCTACTCATTTGCGTGGCCCCAGCTACACCACCTTCTTTGGGAAATTACATTTTAAACGCATTTAGCTATTCACTAAATCAGCCCCTAATGCACTGCAGCAGTGACCTCTGATCTCCCCTCAAAGCACTGAGACACTGTGTGATGCTGCCAGCACGGCTGCGGCACCAACTGAGTGCCCACAAGCGATAAAACTACTTTGGTAAAAACAAGAAAAACGAGGCAAAACAGCCCTCTCCTTCCCAGCCCCGCGGGGCCATTCGTGGCTACCACTGCCACATGCCTGCATTCAGAATTACACTGGATGGGGCTGGGAGGCAGGGTCAGCAGCAGCCAGCACGCGCATCCTTCTGTGCGGCCCGCGGGTGCCTGACAGCCCCATCCCCACCAGAAGACACATCTGCCATCCCACCTCCTCCTCTCCCATCTGTCCCTCCTCCCTCTCTCCCCCAGCCCTGAGCAAGGCAGGTGCAGAACGCCGCAATACCACGCGGGCGCCTGGTACCCACCCTGTCCTTGAGGGAGTCAGGTGGGAAGGAAGGCCCTGCACTGCTCGGCCACCAGCCGCACCGGTGGGCAACCACCCGCCTGCCCTCAGCCGCCAGTGCCTGCAACAGCTCACCTGCCGCCAGCCCCACGTCCTGCATCCCCAGCTGCCGGAGCCCCCGCTGAGCAGAGGAGAAGCATCTGAGGAGGGAAAAGGAACAAAAGAGCGAGATCAGAAAGAAGCATAAAAGAAGGAAGGGTGGTGAATAATAAAAACAAGAGGAGGAATTTTCCCTGTGTTGGGGGGGAGGGTGCTTTTTATAAAAGCTTTTTTTTTTTTTCCTTCCCCCCCAGTTTCTGCAAAAATTGTAACAATGCACGCACTCCTTTTCCCCTTCCCATCCCGCACAAACCTGTTGTTATTTTACTTTCATTATTTCACTTTGTTGCATCAGAAATGCTGAATCATAAAATGGGGGGGTTGTGAAAATGGTGTTTATCTTACAGGAAGGAGCCCCGCGTGATTTTAAAGATCCCCGTGCTGCCGCTGTTATTATTATTATCATCATCATCCTCGTGCATTTGGCAGGTTGAAAGGTATCTCAGAGCAGCAAGAACACAGCAGTAATTTAACATCCCACAGCAGCGCTTTAAAAGCATCAAATAACATTTTGAATCTTAAGTCAGTACAAGTGTAAATAAATGGAAGCACTCCCACATGTCTGTTGTTTTTAAACTCACAATGATCCTAAAATATTTGCCTCACGGCTCTGAGCTGCAACAGAATTTCAGCTCGCATATACATGTGCGTGTGATATTGAATTAAAGCATTTGTCATTCTTCTCCATAAAAGGCACAGTTTGGCTCTCGGCAAACCATTTGAAATAGAAATTATGATGATGATACCACAGCTCCATTTTATTTTACGGTAGCGTATTGATCATCAAATAGACAATGTGTATATTTTTGTAATAGTCTAAAAGATGATATTCTGCCTTTTTATTCTACGGTCCTTATGCTATTACTCGCTTTCATTTCAATAAAGGACGGCATTTTGCAGAGATGCTACCATAAATTGCTTCATTTAATAAATTGCTACACAGAATAATAATGTTACACCAGAGAGCAGCACTCGGTAATTTGGAAGAAATAACATTTTTCTTTTAAAACATTTCTGTCTCTTTATTTTTGAATTAAAATCCTCTCTCGGCTATTTTCTGACTGAAGAATAATCTGATTATTAGCAAATTCTTTTTCTTGCAAGCATCGGAATTTGGGTGTGACATACAGAGGTTAATTAAAACGGGGAACAAATTAGATTAATTTCTATGGATATCAGAGTGATATAAAAGTCTTGTTCTCAGCAACGACTCCGTAACAGAACAGTCTGATTTATGCCTAAGCAGGTTGCTATTCTGCCTGGTGAGGACTGCCACTGGTGTCGCGGTGATAGGGTTTTTATTATTTCTTTGACAGGTTGATAGGAAGTCAGTGCTCGCTTCTGGGTTTGCAGCCTTTTCAAACCTGGATTGCAAAGGTTGCCGTAAGAACAGGGATGAAAAGCTGCCTCCCCAAAGCCCCAGCCGTTACGGCCCACACCCCAACGCGGAGATTGCTTCTGCAGTAATAACTGCAGACAACCTGCTCCATACGCTATTAGACTGCAATTCAGATACTTGGTCACTGGGAAGGAGTCTCCCAAGCTGAGGAAGACAAGGTCAGTCACAACACAGAGCAGGCGGCACGCTTGTCACAAGATGGTACGAAATCTCTGGTTTTATGGGGTTTGTCTGTCTGCATCTGTGGCCACAGATTTCAACTGAATTAGATACTTTCATACCTGTTTAGTTTTGTTTTCTTTTTACAGTGATTTCAATTCAAAATTTATAATGTGGGAAAATGATCTCTAGCATGCGTGAGACATAAACACACACGGTATTTTACACTGCACAGAAAAACTCTTGCTGGTGTGTTACAATGCATTAACAGAGCTGAGCCACCGAGTGTCCTTTGTCAGGTTGCAAAATGCCACTTTTTGCAAACTACAATGCAGTATTTGCTTCTCCCACACAGAGGTCTCCCACTCCTCCATCTCTCTCACACTGTGACATGAAGGCAGTAGAAACTACTTACGCTGCATGAAGATGCACAAAGTTTAAACTTCCCATCAGCACAGAACTGGGTGCACAATCGATCCTTCCTCAAGGTGAGAGCGACCTAACTGATGTAATGAAAAAAAAACATTAAGGAGGTAGTAACAACAGATATTTTACCGAGGCAGCAGCAGAATGTTACCTGAAATAAACCAATCTGTCTGCAAGAATACAAGACTGGAACTGCTAATATATCAGGTAAAGCATTTTCTTCAAGAATTTAATTTGTGTCTGAAGATGTGTGTGCTTTGCTTTACTCGTCTCATGGCATTTCTTATTTCATTGAATTAAGATGTGTTTTTATAAATTCCCTCCTCCAAACATATAACTTGTCTCCGTGTGTCAGATGGTTTAATTTGTATTAATAAAGTTACTGTGAAAGTGCTTAGGAGATTGAAACTTTCTTTCTCTAGAACTTTGGAAGCAAAAAACAAGGCCCTCAGTCATTCTGTTGCTCTGGTGTTTCAACGCAGAGCAGGAGGTAAGATGGGGATGCTCTCTGCTGCCATGTACAGCACGAGTTTGTACTCATGCAGGGCCAAATTTCCACAGTATCTAGCAATCTCAAACAGCCAAATCTCAAACTGCTGTACTATAATTTAACATACATTCCAATCATGAAATTGGGCAAACAGCTTCCTACACATCACTGGTGATTTGCACAGACAATCACACCACATGCACGCATAGCTGTGGTTAACGCATGAGATTCCAGACTAGGCACAGAAAATAAGATATTTTTTTGAAGGGCTATTTTTTTTTTTTTTGGAGGTACCTCCTTTTTTGCCACCTAAAATTACCTTCCTTTGGATCTTTAATTCAGAGTAATAAAACAGAGGCACTCAAATGGCCATTAGTGCAGGCAAGGCAGCAGAATGGTCACTTGATTGCGTGCACAATTTTCTGTGGGATATCTAAAAGCAAGTCAGTAATTTGGCCCTTGATCATTTTCTCCTTGAACATATGCGTAGGTGGGTTCTTCTGTGCATGTGTATATCAATTACTATATCATATAATTTCTTAATGCAATTAGAGTGGTATTAAGAAATACAGAAAGCCCAGATCCACACTCTTGCTTTTCTGACCGTTTCCCCCTTTTAAAAAATAAATGACTCATGCCAGTTGCAAGAGCCAAGATATACTTTACACTTGACAATTTAGCTACCTTATGTGTTTTTACTGGAGGAAAAAAAAAGCCCTCTATCATTTATCATGTCATCTTATCACAGTCTCTTTGTGAGACGCAAATAGCACACTAATGTTTTCTTTTGTTAGGGTGAGTTGGCAATCTCCTCAGAGATGGAGCAACTACAGACAGCTCTTTTTTTTTTTTATAATCTTCCTGACACTTGGATGAGACTGGCTTATCCATCAACATACAGTTGCTCAGTGGTAAGTCGCATGCCAACAGTCAATCAGTATGGATGGCACTTCTTGTCCATCATAAAAAATAGAACAGAAACTAAAGATTTTTTTTTTTTTGGCAAATACCTTACTGTCTTGCTTAACCCAGAATAGCTTTATATCATAAACTGATATTATACCTTTATATCATACCTTCATATAATATCATAAACTGATATATATACCATTGCTTTGAAAAGCAGAAAAAGCCTTGCATTTACCTCACCAATTATTGCAGAGTTTGAAAGAATTCTCTAAAATTTGCATTCCTGCTTCTTCCTTGCTTGCTTTTTCCTCGAGCTGTGCGTGCTGATCAAATAGGTTTGGCAAGCATGGCAGCATGTTGTATCTCCTACTCAGTAGGCTAAGCTTGGAATCTCAGGAGTGGGCACCAGCAGAAGAACCA